TAATTGATTTCAATCGATTATAAAGGATTTCTTGTGCAAAACATATAAATAAGAAATTGGGATAAAATAATTGATTGTAATTGATCATAACCCATTATAATTATATCAAAAGGATTAATAATTAGGTGCCTTCGCTTAAATTGTACTAATCAAAAAGAAAGATAATAAACCATTAATAATCAATTAAAATCATTTTTTTCTCGTTTTTGTTAAGACTGGTACTATAACCATAATACTATCGATAACTAACGCTTCAAACTGGATGCGGGTATGTTGATAGCTCCAGCTCTTGTCGGCCTGGCTGTCAATGTTTAATTATTCATGCGGACTTGAACAAAAAAGAAAATTTTGAATGAACGAAAAAAATTCGGTTGTTGTGCAATCAACAGATCGTTTTGGCCACAGTAACACAGGAGAATAAATTGAAAAAAAAAACATTAAAAACCAATCTCAAATTGTTTTTTAAGACTGTTAGCTGGTAGTGTGAGGCGGTTAAAACAGACAGTCATTTAAATATAAATCAGTAAGGTAAGAATAGATGAAACAGAAGTTGCAGTAGAATTACACAAAAACTTACATGCATCTCGTTTATTGCCTTCTCATGTAAGTTAGCCTGAAAAACAGAGAATTTCATGCTAATTTTTCTCGCTAGCGATGCTCGGTTTTCTCAATTTTTTTGCAGTTCAATTTACGTTTAGTGGGTTTGCAAAAACGGTGTCCCATTTGAACTTTAGGGGCTTCGTTTGAGGTACCTTACCAGTGTGTTCATAGCCCATCTTGTTCAATGCTTCCCCTTAAGTTTTCCAGATCATTTTTTTTGAATTATATTAAAACTTAAAATAAATCTGCTGCAAAAACCTTCAATTTTGTGCTCTCATGCAATTTCTTGTACTATTTGATCAAAGTTCACTCAGGCACATATCAGAAGGGTTTTTGTTCATAAGTATTTCTTTTCTAAGAAAAACTTTTGACCAGCAACAGCTTTTTTGTTCTCTTTCTTGGCAGAAATTTGACCGAAGCTTCTGGTTTCAATGATATTTTTACAGATTTGAAAAATTAAGTTTGGAGGCTTCGTTTTCCTTTGGAATTATTTGGCGTCTAGCTTACGAGAGTTAAGTATTTTGCCGGATATTATTTCGTGTCGGGTGTCCAATTTTCTCTGCAGATCCTTCTTTCAATTTGATGTTCACTAGCCCCTCGATGTTTATTAACTCGATTTGCCCTGTTGAGAATGCAACCATTTAGTTGTTGAGAATGAAAGGGGTCAAACCTCAAAAAAGTAACCGAGAAAACTTATTAGCTACAGAACACTTTGTAAAACGTCTTAAATTTTCCACAACGAAATTTTAAAATTGTTATCTCTCTATACACGTCCTGTAGAAAATTCCTTCTTCGTCCATTTGTTAATTACAACAAGAGATGCAACGAAAAAGATTATTTCATACGGATATTAAACTTATGCTTTTAGTTAAACGTATGCTTTTTATTCCGACAAATAATGCTAGTTGAGAAGGTGGGTCTGATGCTTACAGCAAAAGACAGTAGGGCACTAACTTATAACTTGCAGATCACTATTCAGACGATCCAGAAAATTAAAAAACGCGAAAACTATTCAAAACTTATTCACAGTGTGAGTTCTCAGGTTGCAAAAATTATAATTGTTATCCTTAGAAGTAAAAAGTTCCTTGAATACTTAAAACTCTAATCAGGCAACAAACATACGACATCGGACGCATCAGATGGTAAATTGACGTAAAAAGTATTAAGAATTTGAACTAATAAACCCTTTTAAAAAATTCTTTTTTAGCGATATATCGTAAAACAACCTACACTTTCAAAAACACTGTGAAAGCGACAAAATGTTGTTTGTCACAGGCAAAGTAGCAATAAGCTGGAACAGACAGAAATAACTGAAAAGAGCAATCAATTGATTAGGGCGTTTTTTTTATGAAAAATCAAAATCAGACAACCTTGAAAATCTCACCGAACAAAATTTGAAATGCGAAGCCTAATTTTCAGATATTTCGACGAAAATCCTCATGTTGCCATCAGTGATTTAGCAAAAACTGTCATAAAATCAAATCCACAGTTTATTGTGTCATACAACGACGACTATCAGTCACAAGTTATTCTCAAAAAAAAAAGAAAAACCTAGGTCGCCTTAAAAAAGAACAAATTAATAAGGACAACCAAATTGTTCAAAATTTGAATACTAATCGAGAAAAAACTTCCGAAGAAACCGCCCAAAAAGTTAGCGACAATTGGTTTAGTTTGCCCAAAAGTTACGCACAAGATTTTGCCCTGAGTGTTCCTCGTCGACTTCGAAATGTTTTTGCCCGAGGTGGCTATATATTTTAAACACAGACGTCCGCTACGTGAACTTTCAATTTTTTTTTGTAGTTTTTGCTGATGTCTAGACAGTTGCTCTTTCCGTTCCAGCTTCTTGCAAGTCTATAGCTTTTCTCAAATTCATCGGACAACCTAAATTTCTGAAACGGTTCTAACCTTGAGACAGAAAAATAGAAATGAAATTACAACCAAGTTTTTTGAAATTGCATTTGAACTGTCAAAAGAGCAAAACAAAAAGATTGCGCTAATTCAAAGGTCATTTATTTTGCATATATAATTAGTAGCTAAATTTCGTACAGACAGAATTTATTAAAATGAGCAATCAGTGCTTTCGACTATTTTTTTCGTGCAATATCTGAAGCCGAACAACATTGATTTTTTTGTCAGACCAAATTCAAAATGCGAGATCGTCGATTATCCAAAGATTATGCTACAGTGCTGATTTAAATTAACCGGATAAAACGCGTTAAACTTGAAATGTAAAACGCATTTTTCTCAAATTGGGTTGAGTTTAGGTAAAAACTTATGAAGACAAAACTTGCTTAAAATTTTAGCAGAATTAATATGGTGTAATTTGTTTTGCGAATTTCGGGCCCCAAATTTTACCCCAAAATCGGGTCATTTTGGCTTTTCTTAGTTAATCAAAAATTACGCCGAAACTACCCAATCGATCACAGACATAATGATATCAAAGTGAGCCTTTAACGTAGCCCAACAAACTTTAAGAAGGGTATATTCTCCAAAATATTGTATAACTTAATTTATTTTTGTTTGATAGACAAAGGTCGTTTTTACTATATAAAATACCAACTTTTTATTTAAAAACAATTTTTAAACAGTTTGCAACTTCTTTTGGAGAAAATATCCTCCATAAAATTTGTTGGGCTACGTAAAGGGCTCACTTTGATATAATTATGTCTGTGATCGATTGGGTTTTTTCGGCGTAATTTTTGATTAACTAAGAAAAAAAAAATGACCCATTTTTGGGGTAAAATTTTGGGCCCGAAATTCGCAAAACAAATTACACCATATTAATTCTGCTTAAGTTTTAAGCAAGTTTTGTCTTCATAAGTTTTTACCTAAACTCAACCCAATTTGAAAAAAATGCGTTTTAAATTTCAAGTTTAACGCGTTTTGTCCGGTTAACTTAAATCAGCACTGTAGCCTAATTTTTGATTACTGCAATGAACACTCAGATTTTACTATAAAACAGTTATCAAAATTAGTTGAAAAGACGAAACACAGAATAAAAAATATTAGGCCGCACCAAAAAAAAGATAAACAAACGGTAGTGAAGATGATCAAATCATTTGAAAATTGGAAACTAATCGCCGAAAAACAATAGCCACCCTGAGCAGTAATTTTCCTGTTAAAGGTTTACTATTTGACGCCTCGGATGCAATAGCCCACCGTGGTTATAAATTTTGCGCGAAACTCTGCTTTATGAACTTTCGACGTTACGTTCATTTCAGTTTTAATTTCCGTTGATGTCCAGACAGTTGCTCTTTTTAATTAACTCTGTCTGTCCGAACTTTTTGCAGCTCTCTTTAACTTCAAGCACTTAACTTCAAAACAGTTTTAGTTCAGCAGCAATCTGACATGCATATTTTACTAGAAATGCAACAAAAAAGCAAACACTAAGCTTCAAAGAACTATTTTTTATAAGTTTCAGCTTGAAGGTCAGAATTATTTTGAAAACTTAAGACGTTGTCCGATAGTTTCGACTAAAAACAACAGCTGAGAGTGCTCAAGTGTCTTTTATAAAATCAAAAATATCAGTCGGGGCGTGAATTTAAGACTTTTGAAAACATTCACTGAGTTTATCATCTGAGCAAAAAAATTAACTGTCCTTGAGTTTATCACTGAAAGTTGGAGACATTGATTTTTGTGCGTTTTATAGGAGAATTTTTATCAGTATCTGCAACAACTAGATAAAACAAAACAGTTTTATTGTTCTGATTTTTGAAAAAAAAAACGGAATATTTATGCTTGGGGTGGTTTTTTCTTCCGATATTTGAAAAAAACCGAAATATTTAAGCTTGGATGTTTTTTGTTGGGTCAATTTTCAGTTATTTACCCTCTAAAATTGAATATTAAAAAAATGTTTTATTTATCATTTTTGCACCGTTCTGGGAGCTTGAAAATTGCCAATTTGGTCCTACTCTTGACTAATTTCTGCATGTTTTGAAGATTTTATTCATTATTCTGAAAGCGTAGTGCGAAATTATCATGCGTGCCGAATTATCATGCCCAACAAAATTGTTCTTAACTGAATTGAGGCTAGATATTGGGTCGTGTTAATTTCGTAAGACTCTAATTTTCACACTTGGTCTTTGATATTGTCCAAAGTTTTTAGTTTTTAAAAGTTTTCTTTTCTTAAAAACTATTCGGTATGGGTTAAGTGGCAGTCGGAACATTCAGGGTTTTGCCTTGTATACGATCAATCTCGTTAAGATATTACGCGTGGTTTGTGCTGAAACATTGAAAATAATTAAACGCTCAAAAATGTTTTACTGTTGAAACGGCCGTTACTATGACACGTTTTGAGAAGTTGATGGTTCATAAAATATAAAAAACAAAAATCTTCACAAATATCAATTTTTACACGTTTTTTACACGAGAGGAATACTGCGCGTGAATCAGTGTTCCCCGCTCAATCTACTGTTACGAATTGTAGCTTGTTTAGAATTGTCGCCTGTTAAGAATTGTCGCCTGTTAAGAATTGTAGCCTGTTACGAATTGTCGCCTCACGCACACGAGCATCAATATTATGGTGCAAAATTTGGTTTACAAGGTTAGTTATGAACGCTAAATTTGTTTGTAATGACGTAATTAGTCAGCATGCCAATTTTTAACAATCGGAAAATGTGAACAGAAAATTATATTTTTCGCTGGTGGGGGGGGGGGGCTTGGGGAGAAAGAACAGCTTTAATTATCCAATTAAAATTGGGTGTGGGGAGAATTTTTTTTAAAAAACGAAAACTTTAAACTTTTTTCGACATTGTGTTTAGACATATTACTAAAATTTGATACATCATTTTCTTTCAAACACAGTACAGGACATGCGGAACATTCAGGGCCTTGCCCTGATGCGAGCAGTATATTGTTATTATACAAAGTAATTTGAGTTCTATCTGTAATAAGAGTTCTGGGCATGATCAAATTAGAAAATAAAAGAAAACGAGCGGAATCAGCGTCATCGCAATAGTGGAGAATGAAATGATTTCAGCTCCACTTTGCATTTCCGATGAAGGGTTTCCGTCGACCCCTTCCCAGCTGTTACCAATGGGTCTGTCAGATTTGTAGACCAATTCTATATCCCCGTCATGTACATAGCAGTACAGCTGGTCTTGCATTACCTCCACGTCTATTTTCTGCTCGGCTTCCGCTCCACATGAAACTGGGAACTTCCAGTAGTGTAAGTAGTTTTCGTCTTTCTCTGCCAGGGAGAAGTCAACTCTAAGGCCAGGTTCAGGGCACAGAGCTAAAAGCAAACAGTCGATTGAAGAATATAGAGACTTTGGCAAAAAGATACCTCGTTGAAAAATAAATGGATCACTCAAAAATCCCCTGTAAAGATAGTAATACAGGTACAAAAGAGGCATACGCTTATGCAATTAGCTTAGTGGTTAGGCTTTCAGTTTCTGATCGTGATATTTTTATTCGATCCCCTCCCATGGAAATGACAGTGAGTGAGGATGAGCTCTCAGTTGACCTCTAGCTTCAGGTCTACCACATCATGACCGATTTCGGCTGCAACTGTGGTACAACGAAAAAAACTTCTGACGCATAAAAAAACGGCTTTGAGTAGTGAAAAAAAACGAGATTAGTTCAATAAAATAACGCAGCCTGGAATGTGGAAAAAAAATAGAAACTGGCTGGATCGACAGGCTGGATTTAGCCTTTATAGATCCTCTGCGAATCGCAGAAACCACAATTATTTCTATACGATTAACCAATGCGATTTAGTTCATTACAAGGGCACTTATTGTTTATTAGGTGTCTTAGTGGGGAAATGTAGTTAGAAGAGAAGAATAATTAAATTGATCATAATCGACCAACCAAGGAAGGTAATTTTGCACACTTGCAAGATGTAGCCGCGTTCTCTCAAGAAATTGTAAAGTATTTTTTTAATAAAGAAAAGCAACTACCGATTGTTTTATGACTCAAACCACAGTCACATCGTAAATTAATCGAATGTTTCAAAGAGCGCTCTATTCTTATACCATTCAGTATATGTTTTGATAGAGATCAGAGCCTGAATTATAGTCCTAATTATTGATTTTGCTAGCAACAAACTTTAACTTTATTGGTCTTCCGAACATAAATTAGAAGATTTAGAAAGTGACTCGTCGGATAACAGACAAAACAAACAAAAGGCAACTTTGTTTTTGAAACTATGTTTTTGAAACGTTATTGCAGCACGGATCAGATTTGATGTTCAAAATCTAACATAAAGTGTTAGCAATATGTCCAATCGAAGCCTTGGACTACGGCTTAATTGGTTTCAAAAAGTATATTCACATTTAATACCCAAAGACAAGCCGATTAAACTTGATAAATTCTTAGTGGACCGCATCAAAAAATTTGAGTTATAAAAATGTGGAAAAATGTGGGAAAGATCGATGCAGAATTTTACTGCAGCCTCCTTAGGAGCTATTAAAAGTAATTTTTTTTTTGAAAACGGCGCTATTAAAAGTGAATTTGTAGTAAGAAGTTTTCGTTTTTCTCTGCCAGGGAGAAGTCAACTCTAAGGCCAGGTTCAGGGCACAGAGCTAAAAGCAAACAGTCGATTGAAGAAGATAGAGACTTCGACAAAAAGATACCTCGTTGGAAAATAAATGGACCACTCAAATATCCCCTTTAAAGATAGTAATACAGGTACAAAAGAGACATAAGCTTATCCCATTCGATCCCCTCCCATGGAAATGATAGTGAGTGAGGATGAGCTCTCAGTTGACCTCTAGACCTAATTTTTCAACCAAATCGAATGAGCTTTGAACCAATTCGTGCTTTTAACTGGATAACACGAATTTAATTGGCCGACAGAAACTTTTTTATTACGTGTCGAGAAAAAGTTTGGAAAGTATTAAATCAAAACATTTTTTTCTTCATTTTTTTGGATGATCATTGCTTCAAGGAAAACAAGTTGTTTTGGTTGGTGCTCTAACTTGTATCTAAACAACAAATTTGATCCCTGCAACAGCTGATTATGTCCTTAATTGTAGGGGCGAGGCAGTACCTGCAGTTTTCCATTTCATCAATTTCATTCTGATATTTTTTGACTTCTTTAAGTTTTGAACTCTTGACTTCTTGTTTATGAGATTTGTGCACTATTAATTCTGCTATAGGAGCTTACAAGATTAGCAATCAATCTTTTGAAATGTTTAACTCGACATGAAAATTGCATTGAAGAAGTTTTGCCGCTTTCATTTTTTCATGCATGCTTTGAACTCATTTTGGTTCAGCACATGTTTTAATGATTCCGCATTTTGTTTCAAGCTTAATTGTTCAACAAAAATATCTTTCATCTTTATGCCGACATTATGTTCTACGAGGATATCAAAGAATCTGGGGCAAGTTTCCTTTGTTTATTATCTGGGACAAAATGGCATTGGACAAGTTGTCATCTGGGGCAAGTTGGAATCGGACAAGTTGAGCTGGCACAAATTGACATGCAACCTTTTCTTTAAACACGATAGGAAAAGCCGGCTTAAAAGCAAATTTGGACATTTTCTGTTGACTCTGAGACTTGTTTTCAGTTTTGTTGAGGCAGAATTTGATTTTCCAAGTTGATTTGCCCATGATCTCATATCTGGCGCATGAATTCATGAGTTGAACTAGTTTCACGTGCTTATAATTTTATAAACATGCCTCAAGTACCCTATAGATTTGTAAAAGATTGTTCAACTGATTCATTTTGACTCCGACTATTTTGGGTTGGGGTGGTTTTTCTACAGTCAAAAACTATAGCTGTATAGAGCTCAAATTTGAAAAGTTGTTTTACCTGTGATAATTTTTTAAAATTATGGATGTTTAAGGATTGCCAATTCGGCAAATTGGGGACAATTAACGCGCGATATATTTCGTGCTTTTAACGCGTAAGCTGAGATTCAATCCCTCTCGGAAATCTTTCCAAATTGGATTGAGATATGCTATTGGTTCTATTTAACACTTTGGTATAGACGAAATATAATACCTTGAATTTAACGTAGTGGCTGAGAGGGCTTGCTTTAAAAAAAATTATTTTTTTCATAAAATTTTTTCTCTATTGTGAAAATTTCATCAACTATTTTAATTCAAACCACTTCATAGAAATTAAAATGCAGTTTGATAATTCAGGTTCTTGTGGGAAAGAGTGAAGCAAGATTTTACTGCAGCCTCCTTATGGTCGCACCGTTTCAACCCACGTTCACTGCTTCAACTCACCTTCCAACACGACTACGTTCCGGGTCATTTCTACGGATTTAGTTTTTTTAGCATGCCGGTTTTTGGACTTGGTGAATACCGACTGCTTGCTCAGATGGAATTATCAGCGCCTTTAATTGTACTATGAGTGTGAATCATTAATACTTGTCGCCAATGCGTGAAACAAATGTCTTTTTTTTAATAACCAGCCTGAGGCCTAAACCGGAGGTTAATTATTTAAGGTTAATTAAGATATGGCTATCTAACAAAAGCTCAACTTGTAAATAGCAGCGCACGTGCGATTTGAACCCTCAATTATATGATTCCTGGGCACCATCACTACCGATGCGCCACAACGCCACAAAATCTCTGCTACGTCTCGGATCCGATCTGCGATCTAAAGATTATGACTCTCACGTACTAACCACTCAGCCAGGGACGCTAGTAAAGCCTAGCTTAAGCGTTTTTATACGCCTGTTGGTCAATTATGTGTCAATTTGTCAAAAATAATAAGCTATAAACACCTCATTTTCACTTTTGATGTTAAAAAATCATGCTAAAAGGCTCAAAATAAACATTTCAGATCCTTGAAATGAAAAAGATCATTTATTTTCAATCTGGTTTGCTAAAATTAGCGACTCAAAATCAAGAAAAAAGTGTAGGCATATCGGTCACTTCTCAAGTTGATTAAAATCTTAGCAAGTTTTTATAGTGCTTATTTTAAAATCCCAAAATGAAAATCAGTCCCATAGGTCTCATATTAAAAATGCTGTTGCTTACGTCCCAAATCTTTTCAATTGGTCAAAGACTATTTTAGTCGACTCTCGATTTAAAATAGGCTGTGGGTCTAAATTTCTTTTAGAGTCCGACGCTTTGTTAGCAAGCTATCAACTCATTGGTACGACTGCCGAGGTCACTATTCTACCGCTTGCTATTATGCTGCTTGCGCAATAAACAATTAACGCATCTATTGGTAGGCTTAAATTTCAACTATACAAAATTTTAAAAAAAAATTCAGCAAATGTTTTTCGTTTTGGCCCTATGAACAATTGGAGCTATGGGATTTCTCCTTTTTAACAACCTTTCTCTACAAAATATGCATCCCAAAAACGTCAGTAAATAAATTGTATCTTAACTTTTGCGGTTCCTCGCTATTTAACTAATTTTTTAATGTGCCAAAAATAACGATGTTTGTTCCAATTTTGCTTCTGAAGGTTGTTTAAAATATGTCAGCAAAATTCGAAGGTACGAGGTTTATTGACCTGACTTTCGTAATGAAAGTAACGGAATGTTTGTGCTCGGGGTGGGTTTTTTCTTCTGACAAATTTCGACTTTTTAACCAGCCAGTTTCGACCGATCTTTTCTATATCATTCAAAAGGTATTGTTGTATTGGGCTTAAATTTGAAAAGATAATTTACTAGTGATCATTTTTTGTAAAGTTATGGGGGATTAAAGATTGCCATTTTTGCCAACTCGGGACAATTAACGCGCGATATTTTTCGCGCTATTAACACGTAAGCGGAGATTTAATCCATATTACAAATCGTTCCAAATTGGTTCAAGGAAGCTTATATGCCATAATTTATTTGTTAATAGGAGCAAGATTTACCACTTTATATATAATGAGGCGTGTGGGCGGATATTTTTTGTTTTTTAATTTTAGTTTAATTTTATTACATTTAAATTTTTCATGTTATTATTACTGCTCCATAGACCTTAAAAGGCAGTCGGAACATTCATGGCTTCACCATGATACGAGCAGTCTTGTTCCAATTTTGCTTCTGAAGGCTGTTTTAAAATAAGTCAGCATTGGCTACCATATTCAAAATATGGTAGTCAATGCTGTTTTTTTTCCTAACAAAAAATTAACTATTCTGTTCTTCATTTTGGGCTGTGAAGCAAAAATGTACCTTCGAGCTCACCGTCATAATTTCCTAATCTACGACTATAGAAGGCAGATCTAGGTCTTTTGTCGAGGCGGGAATAAGAAAAGATTTTAGAAAAAAGGTTTGATGAATTAGTGGGCTAAAATGCTGTTTTGGGCGGTTGAATATGATGTTAACTATTTAATCCCCCCTCCCAATGCAAACGGCGGAAATTTGAGTAGACAAAGTTTTGACCTAAAAGTTGCATTTTTGACCAAAACAATTTTAAGTTACAAAATAAGGAAGGAGTTGAAAATTGAAAAGTAGGCCGACTCATTTTACTTATGGAGCCAATACATTTCCTGCATTTTTTCCGGTTTCAATCAAAATTTGAAGAAAAAAAAACAACACTTACATGCAGGTATGTCATCCTTAATTGCCTCGAAAATGGGCTGGATGTATTTTTTCTTCTGTTCCAGTTCTTCCGGGGAATATTCATTTGAGGGAAACCCCTTAGCCCCCACAATTCCAAAATCTACCAGTTTCTCGGACCACTTGACGTATTTCTCTTCGTCCGAAGAGACTTGAACCTCAATGTGTTCGTAGCCTCTGTTTGCTGCTTTGGCACAGTAGAAACTGTAGATCTGTCTAGTTGGGTTCTGTAGGTTTTCGTAGTGCCTGAAATGAAAATAGTGTTCATAATTTGTTACAAGGATGAACAAACTTCAGAGTTCATTGTCATTAGAGGCAGGAGTGGTTTGAAAGAAGACTATAACAACTTTATGCTTCACAAAAATACTTGTAAAAAGAATGATAAAATTGCATAAAATGATTGATAAGCATTTTTACATTACAATGAAACTTTATGATGAGCATTTTTTCAAAACTCTCGAGTTAAATTACAAGCTTTTTGTCATGGTATTAATCACAAACATTGTATGAAGCTAGGATGACAAATTTCCTTTAGTATGAAATTGTATGGTAAGCGTTTGTTCCATACAACAAAAATTTTGTGAGTTGTACTTTGAAATCCGAAAACACAAAAACACAGATTTTTCCTATATAAGAAGGCCAGCGTTTAAGTGACAATTAGCGCACTAATAAATTGCTTTGATGATTTTTTTAAGCAAACACTGCTCCATAGGACTAAGAAAGCTTCGCTTTGATACGAGGAGTCTTGTTGTTCTTTGGGTTCATTCTTGACGGCGTTGTCTTTCCTTTCAATTGTAAAAATTCCTAATTGAAGTCTTGTTCAATGGAAAAGGATCTCAAAATTTTCAAAAACCTTCATTTTCTTATTTGGTACGCTGAAGTGTTTGCGCAACAGGGTGGGGGGGGGGGGGGAGGATTTGACCCCTCACCAACCAAAGTGTCCCTCCTTTGGTTTAATTTGTTTTTTATATTCATTTTTAGACCAACCAGCACTAAAATTTTTCGAAAGGGCCAACGGCGCCAATGCATACTAATTTTGAAGAACGCGCGCCAAAAAAAAACGACTTTTTGTCAAAGTTTTCCAAAACATGCTCAAAACGGCATTTTTGACCTTTTATTAAAAGAAAAATTGCCTGCCGCGCAACATTTTTTGGTCAAAGCAGGGTCCTTATAGTGTTCTGGGAGCGCTCGGAAAATATCAAATTGGTCGATCTAAAAACCATTTTGAAAATCCACCCTTCGCTCCTCAAGAAAATCCTAGATCCATCCCTGCTGCGCACAAAGTTGTTTTTTTTTCTAGTTTGTGCTGGAATTGCTGTTTTGCTTTTAGCTTACGGTTTTTGAACGTGGGTTACTTTTTTTGTCGGATTGTCTTTTTGAGCGCTATAGGTGTTGTATCATCAATGACTTTCAATTAAAACAACGTAGGTTTGTCCCCAGGAAATGTAGACCGTTGATATCAAATTTGGTTATTGTTTATCACTTTCCTCAAACACCTGAGGAAAGTGTCGACCTTTTTTTGTGGACCTTTTTTTTAGGTCGACCAAATTGATTTTCTGAGGTCTTTCAAATCACTATAAAGACCCTAATTTGGCCAAATTTTCTGCGACGCAGGCAAGTTTTAGAAAAAAGGCCAAAAACGGCGTTTTTCAGCACTTTTTAAAAAATTTCGACTAAAAAAATTGCGTTTTTTTGGCGCGCGCTTCACTTCAAATTAAAGTATATTGGCGCCCTAGGTGCCTTTAGAAACTTTTTTGGGTTGGTCCGCCTAAAATGGTTGTCATAAAATGATACCAAAGGGAGACCCTTTAAATTCGCCACTGATTTGTATACAGCAAAAAAGTTTTCTACTTGCTAGAAAAAATTCTAATTGGTCTGTTCAGATGTTGTGAAAAGCGGCGTGTTTTATTTTATAGATTGAGATTTATCTTAGCATATGAAAAATGCTCGTATATCAGGGCAAAGCCTTGAATTTTTCAACTGCCCAAAACTGGTCTCGAATAGTTTTGTACAATCTTTTTTTGATAAACTATAATTTTTGTACTGCCAGTATCAAATACAAGTGTTAATTAACAGTTGAGTAGAATTAATATGACCAATTATAGTTGGCCTCAATTCAACTCGATGCGGTTACGAGTGCGGATGATTTGTCATGCATAAAAAATTCGCGTTTTGAAAGTATCAAATAATGTTCGAGCAGCGATGTCATCTGAATATTATTCTACAGGGTAAATTAGAAACGGTTTTTCTCTAAATCTTCTCGCATTTTAGAAATATTTGCCGTATTGAAGTAAAAACTTTTGCAGATAGCAGCAAAAATTTGCCTAACTCTGATGATGTATTTCATTCAGTTGGATTGTTTTTTGTTCACGCGTGTTTTGCTGTTTATTGACTTTTCACTGAACTTTGTGCTGCACAAGAGACTATAGTATTGATTTACAAAAACCGGCTAAAATGAAGTAAAACAGAACTTTCAAACTTGTTTCCTCAAAATTTATTGAGTTTGGCCGAAAACTGATCAGGAAAAAATAGCTTGAAAGGAGGTATCAGAGTCAATTGTAGTTATTCTTAGATCAAATGGCCCTTTTTACTTCTTTAATTTTGAATCACAAAAATTGACCCTTTTTAAGCAAACTCCAAACAATTTTTGTCTACATCATTTTCTGGCCGAACACAACTGAAATTGAGAAAAATGAGTTAAAAAATTCTGTTTTAATTCATTTTATTTATTTTCATTTAGAAATTACTACAATAAAAACTTGCTCAGCACAAAATTCAATGAAAATTCAATAAACCGCAAAAACATGCGTGAACAAAAAATAATCCAACTACTTTGCATTATACCATCAGATTTTGGCAATTTTTTGCTGCCAACTGCAAAAAAATCTTCTCAGTACCCAACATATTTGTAAAATGACAAAGGAATTATAAAAAATACATTTTGAAAACACCCTGTAGTGCAGGCATAAACATTTGCCAATCCAAGCAGTTCCTTATCCATACCCATAGGGTCTCAGCTTTTGTGAAATTAAGCTGCATTAAAAAAAACCAACCCCAAGCATATATATTCCTCACTTTTCACTTGCTGGAGCCTACACTACCTTATAGACACAAAACATGAAGTTTAGCTGGCAATTTGTTTTGTAAAAAACTTATTTGAGCACAGAAGCAAGTAGGGAACAAAAAAATTCATTTTTAACAAAGTTTTTAAAAAGTTTCTATGAAAAATGCCTGATACAATTTTCATATAAAAAAATGAATGATTAAATTTTTTTGAAAAAACAGTTTTTGGCATTGAAATTTCTCTCATGTAACAAAAAAAGCTTTAATGTTATGTGAGTTTTAAATTAAATTAGGTTAATTTCGATTGAAAAAGTGTTTCTGATACAATTTTTTGCCATGGTAATTGTATGATAAACTTTTCTCACATAGATTCTTGCATAAAATTGTATAAGTTTTCTTGCATGGACGTCAACCCAGGCAGATAATCGACAGCCCCTTGTTGGCCGATTTTAGTCCAATTTCCAAAAAAATCATACATCAATTGCAGGTTTTCCCAAATTCTTCATGAATGCTTTCCAAAATTTTCTTTTGCAGTCGATACTTTCATGAAGTTAATTTCTAAAAACTCTGTATCAACAATAGATACTGTTTTACTAATGTGTTTTTGAATTTTTTTATCAGACCGGTTTTTTGGGTTTTTTTTATGTTTTAGCCAAAATAAAAAAAAAAACCCAAGTCAAATAAAAAAGTTGTTCCAACTTTTGAAGAAATATTTTTGCTTAGGTGGTTTTTTTCCCTAGATCAAATTCGATTTTTTTAACGAGCCATTTTGCACATCATTCAGAAGGTATTCATGATCTGTTCTGAATGATCTGTTCATTTGTCTTGAGCTCTTATTTAAAAAAATACTTCACTTGTGATAACTTTCGCAAAGTTATGGGGGATTAAAGATTGCCCTTTTTGCCGACTTGGGACAATTAACGCGCAATATCCCGGGTTGACGATAACGCTTATCCTAAAATTCCATATGAAAGAAAAAATACTTTTCATAAAATTTTTTACAATTCCATAGAATAAAAAACATTGTATGAAAATCACTTGATAAGCTTTTTTCAATACAACGGAATTATACGATACGCTATTTTTCCATACTAAAGGATTTGTTTGAAAAGCATTTTTTCCTTTTTATTTTTATGTGTTTCGCTTTTGTGATTTGCCCTGAACACGAATACCAAAAGTTTTCTCAAAAGAAAAAGCCAACAGGTTATACGGCATTGAATTGCAGATATAACAACTTATTGCTGGATGCCAAGTCAAATAAAAATTGAATTCACTCAAAATTATAACAGAACAGCAACTTTTTGTATATGGCTACGATGGCTTCAAAAAGCTCAGACGCTGAAACTCATGGCCTGTTTTTCGGTTATTTTTAGGTTATATCTGAAAAGTACCAATTCTGCCATCACAAAGAACCTTCAGTGTGACTCTTAATTTTTTTATGTTTTTTGTTTAAAGACAGTACTGCGTTGACTAAGTTAAAAGCAAAAATTTGAAACTTTGCATGCAAAAAAGCCGTAAGACTGGTGTAGCGACTAAAATGAGAACAGAAAAAATTCCTCAAATTTGAAGTTTTTGCATTGAAAAAAAGCTCATCATACAATTTTCACAAAAGCAAATTGTATGATAAGCATTTATTTCCATAAAACCCATGCATGGAATTGTATGGACAAGCATTTTTGTTGTATGGGGGTCATCCCCGGATTTTTGTCCTATTAACGCGTAAGCGGAGGTTCAATCTGTGTTAGAAATTGTTCCAAATTTAGCTGAGGCAAGTTCTTTAGTCTTTTCAATACTTTCCTGCATGCGAAAGTAATCATTTTGTTCTTTTTATAGCGCGCGAAAGGATGATTTTCGACGAAAAAAATCTCGAAAAAATTGCTTTTTTGAATTCTTCGTTATTTTTTAAAGCAAACACTCTTGCATAGACTTAAAAAAGCAGTCGGAACTTTCAAGGCTTCGCCTTGATACGAGCAGTTTTGGTGGCTGCTTGTGTTAACATGAGTTTGGCAGTTTAGATCGAGTGTAAGTGTAATTATCAGATGTTGATGTCCGATAAAAATAAAGTAGATCGGTTTCATTAAGAAAATCAGATTGGTACACGGTTGAGTTCTTTTAGTTTTCTAGTAGTTTTGAACCACACATATCAACGAGATCAGGCCTGAAATTTCAATCAGAAGTTTCCA